TTGCCAGTCCCTTTTGCCACAGTATCACTTTCAGTCCGCTTAAGATCTTTGTAAAGTGTGGAGATTATTTGGCTGCTGAGTTCCCAGGCTCACTTACTTGAAAATGTGTATGTTTCTCAGTTTGACAGAAATGAAGTGGAGCACATCTACCAGTGGCTCAGTCCAGCTCCTCTTAAACATGCAAGTGTAGTTCAGATCTTGGCATAAGAAAAAACAATGTCTCTACGCTATTAAACACTCACCAATAACTGCCCACAGCTTGGGTCCAAGACAAAAACTGATTTGTTCAAAAGCTTCTATCTCTGACCAGTAGTTCACCCATGGGTTTGAATCAAACTTTATTGCTATGATGCACTGGGCAAAATACAGGGTTGGTCTTTATGAAGAACATTTTGATATAACTTTTTTCATTTTTAGAGAGGGTTTTATAGGATAGTATTAAAATGTTACTTGAGCTAGACCAATCCAATTCCAGAAGCCCTGTAATTCTTTTTGTGCTTTGAATCCCAGGGTATTAGTTTCTGTCTTGTCTCTTCATACCCTTTGAAAGTCTTAACTGTAAGTCTGAGTTTGCATTTGTCATTTGTCATATGTGGTTTCTCCACAGAGCTCTGTCTGTAATCTCTTCTATGGCATAGGCTGAAGGAACATAAAGGAGTATAAAGGTCACAGGCCCCTCACACATGCTCTGTGAACCCTGCCGTAGCATAATAAATCATGAGCCAAGCTGTTTCCACTTCCTGTAATTTTCTGACTGTGTACCACCCAGTTCAACTTCACGCTTCAGTGTTTAGGGATATACAAAGATTTAAGTGACATACTGATTGTGATTTTCAGTGGAATGTTTCACCCTGCATTCATCTTGTGTCCTCTATTAAATTTGTTCAGTCAGTAGTGTTGGTGACATTATGAAATTCACACAACCTTGTTCTAAATAGTTCACTATTCTTGTATTATTGTGTTGGCTGAGCTGAGAAATAGAGTTGTTGTGCATCATTGTGTTCTGAACAAAAACTCAAAACTCTTAGTGACCTTTTTATAGGTGCAAACAGTGGAGAGGAAACTGGCTGTGATGTGTGTTTATTTATTTATTTATTTTTCTGTTGAAAGACTTGAGTAGTGATATGAACAGACAGGTTCATGATTTATATTTTGTGTTGATGAATGTTCATAAAATTAGGACTTGAACATAGACATTTCTGTTGCCTCAAACTAGTTCCAAAAGTGGTGGTAAGACGTGATTAATTTGTTGTTTTTAAAATAAATTAATACTCTTTATTCAGCAAGGGCACATTCAGTTGATCAAAAGTGGCAGCAAAATTGTATTTCTTCTTACCAACCCCAAATTGTTGAACGATGTGTGCTATCAAAGTCCTTTTAAGACAAGTCATGTCACTCGGCGGCCATCTTTGAAACTCCTCTCTTGCAAGTGCAACTCCTATCTCTTTGAATGGGGAAACATCAAATTCTACAAAACTGTACACTAAGCTTACGATTAAATTTCATATTTGAAATCACCAAAGAAATCTGACAACAGCTGTGTCATAAATGTTGTTACTTTTGCTCAAATACCGTTATAAAAAGCATATTTTTCAGGCTAGATCAGCCAGTGCGCATGCACAGTCCTAAGAGCACGTCTCAGAACGCTGACTGTTTCTATAGCAACCGGGACTTCTAACAGCAGCTGCAGTGATGCAGCTTTACCGATTAGTGATTGCCGATTAGCTTTCATTCAGAAGGCGGGGCATCCTGCGGTTGAGCGGCCATATTAAGCGTTGGATTTTTCCCCGTTCAAACTATACGAGTGACACGTCTTGGGTATTCTATAGTCTTTGGTGCTATGCTGTTTGGTGACCTCACAATGTGGTCCAAGGCTGAATCTGAGATACTGAAGATCATTTATTCCGAATACTCCCTGATGGATTTTTCAAAGATTATAGGGCTGTCACGATTCGTCGATTTTATTAGGCTATTCGATTTTTTTTAAATCCTCGACTTCATTTTGCTCGCGTCAACTAACCGACAAAATACCAGAAGTGGCGCATTTCGAGGACGAGAATCCATAAAACACATTATTAGACTGTTTCCCAAGGCTGCATGATATATTAAACCCATTTAAAAATCACAATTAAGCATAGCGATTTAATTCAATAATTATATGCGATGCAGTTCTAATACAGTATATGCGCTTTAATTATTTACATGCGTGTAGGTTAAGTACATGTGTCACACAGCGGCTCCGTTCACAGTAGTTCCACAGGAACTGTTATCATTTACATGTGTGGAGCGTCTCAAACTCCATCTCTGCATGTTGTTGTGAGTTTGGGTTTATTATAACGTATGAACAGACGCAACCTAGGAAGGTGATAACAAGTGATCATGGCTTTAATGCTTGAGCAAACCTGATGCACTTCATAATATAATACTGTGAACACAAGCACAGTGAATTATACTGCTGAATTGACAATATGCGCGTATGCCCTGAATAAAATGCATTACATATCAGGCACCGCTCCTGCTCCCAGCACTGAATGCGCCAGTGACGACTCTGTCACATCCAATCTATAATATCTCACAAATGTGTGCGGTGATGCCCAGCTCGCCGCAGCACAAATGTCCTGAATAGAAACTCCTCTGAACATCGCCCAGGACGGTGCCATTCCACGCGTGGAGTGGGCGCGAAGTCGAGGTGGAGGTGATAAATTTGCATCCTTATAACACATTACGATCGCGTCTACCACCCAGTGAGAAAGCCGCTGACATGAAACAGGACTTCCTCGATAATTGTCAGCCCAAGAGACAAAGAGCTGATTACTCCTTCGTAACAGTCTCGTCTTCTGCACATAAACACTCAAAGAGCGCACCGGGCATAAACAGTGTAACCGCTCTTCCTCTGATGAAGAAAAAGGCGGTGGAAAGAACGCTAGCAATTCCACAGATTTGTTTGTTCCTGTTGTGTCCCTGACCTTAGGAACAAATGTCGGGTTAGTCCTTAGCGTAACTTTCGATCCATCCAATGCAAACTGCATATAGGAAGGATGTACTGACAAAGCGTGTAATTCACTTATGCGCTTTGCTGTAGTGAGAGCGATCAACAAAGCCGTCTTTAAAGAAAGACGCCTCAAATCAATGCCCTCTAATGGTTCAAACGGAGACTGTGAAAGCGCATCCAGAACCACCGTTAAGTCCCAGGACGGGATCAGGGATTTAGTGACCGGACGGAGCCGTCTTGCTCCCCTCATAAACCGACAAATCAAGGGGTGCTGACCTATCGTTCCCGAATCCAGCCCCACATGACATGCTGAAATAGCTGAAAGATAGACCTTTACAGTCGAAAAGGCTCTACCTTTATCCAATAGTTCTTGCATAAAGCAAAGAACATCCGATACAGAGCATAAAAACGAAGTAATATGCCTCTCTGCACACCATCGCTCAAACACTCTCCATTTGTGACCATACAGAGAGCGTGTGGAGGCTGCCCTCGCACTCTGTATTGTGTCAATCACGTTAGAGGGTAACCCGATGGCATTTAAATTCATCCTCTCACGGGCCAAGCCCACAGCGCTACTTTGTGGGGTGCAGGATGAAATATCTCCCCGTTTGCCTGAGAAAGAAGGTCCCTGTGCAACGGGAGAGGCCAGGGTTGATCGTATAGAAGTGGAATTATTTCCGCTATCCACAGTTTTCCCGGCTTTGAAACTCGGTGGTTTTACAGCAAATTGGAGTCTGTAACCATTCTCTATTGTGGATAGAATCCACGGAGATACTGCGCATGCGCGCCAGCTCTCTGCTCGCGCAGCGAGTGAGCTCCGCTCCCCTTCGCTCACTGGTGGTGCGGTGGCGCCCCCCAGTGGCGAAAAAGGGCATTGCAACTCCAGTGGGGACTCTTTTGGTTTCGTTTTCATAATTTTTATTGTTGTTTTTATATTCTTCCCCGCCCTTGGCCCTTGGCCTGGATGCGTGGGAGTTTCTTTTATTTTTACACCTTCTTTGCTCGTGTAAACATTCTCCTCTGCCCTCGACATTAACCCCGTGGGTGGAGGGAGGGGAATAGTTGCAGGGAGTACTCCGTGAACTTGTGGCACTGACCCTTGTACAACTGTGAGTGAACCTGCTGAACTGGCCCTTAAAACAACTGAACTTGGAACGTTTACCGTTAACAACTTTCTCCGTTTCCCCGGGGGCGGGAGAAAAGTGTTGAACTCTGAGGGGGGTGGAGCAGAAAACCCCAGGTGCTGCTTCCTGTCCCCCTGTGTTAAACAGTCCTGACCCTAGGTCGCTCGTCTCTTTTTGCCCCCTTGAGGGTTAGAAGGACGATGCTTTGCTGCAGCGGCCCTATGAAATCCGTTTTATTTCCAAATTTTCATTTTCTATACTCTGTTTTAATGGTTAAATCAAATTTTATTAATCAAAGAGCCTGTCTAATTAATTGTTTTACAGTTTTATCTACCAAATTCTGTTTTCCATTATTCTCTGGATTCCATTTTAATGGTTCCATTAAATTATAGATTTATCGGCCAACATATCGGTTATCGGCTTTCAAAAATACAGAATTATCGGTTATCGGTATCGGCCAAAATGTTCATATCTGTGCATCCCTAATTAGTAGACTAGAACACATGGATATTTTGTCATTCTTACACTATAATACTGAACTTTGATTTCAGCGATTTGGACTATGAGATGGACACTTGCTTCTTGCACTTTATGTTGCACTTTACTTGTATAGAGCAAATTTGTCCCATTTGCTTCTGATAAAACATCACTTCCCTGTCATTACATCTTGAACCTGAAAGCTATAAAGACCTGGTGCAGGACTGCTGGGACAAAGGCTGGCAGACATGGTTGTACCCAGTCGAGGTGGGATGCAGGGGCTTCCCAGCCCAGTCAGCCTGGAAGCTGATGACAGACGTTGGACTGAGGGGGACTGAGAGAAAGAAGGCAGTGCGAAGACTGGGGGAGGAAGCAGAGAGAGCCTCTTGTTGGATTTGGAGCAGGAGGGAGGAGTTGAGCAGGCAGCCAGGAGGGAGTGAGTAGTGGCTGGCCACCACTGCTGACCCGCCAACAGGAGAGTGTTATGGTTAAGGGTCGAAACACTTCAGGATCGTTGGTAACCATCTGATGACATAACCTCCTGGCTAAAGGCTCCAGTCATTGCAAAATGACTGAAGGAAAAGCATCCAAAGATGTATACCACTATGCTTCTCAGCTATGGTTCACTGGCTGACTCTAGTTCCAGGTAACAGGGCTAAAGATGAGCGGGCAAATTACTAATTTTTTTAAAAAGCAAAGTGCCAAGTTGCCATGGAAACAAGGCTAAAACGGGACAGTTGTCCATTAGTCCATAGATATAAGTGTCCTTGTCTCTTAAAGGCCAATTCACACCGCACAGACAAATGCCAACAAACAAGTTGGCTCAAGTTTGCTGTTGGATGTAGAATTTTATGAAAAATAACTATCATGTTCACACTGCCCCAACAAACACCAACAAACTTCGAGTCACAGAGAGTCAAGTAACACCGTATCTTCACCGGACGTGTCAGTTGTCGCATCACGCCGCATCCAGTGAAGACAACGTCACTGATTATAATCAATAGAACCTCTATTGTATTTTGTCGCGTCGCGCTGTTTGCGTCTGGTGTAGATGGTGTAAGTCTGACTGGGGAAGAAACTGATGATCCTGTAACCACAATCAAAATTTTACTGTTATTAATGTCTTTGCGTGTCATTCTTCGCCTAAAAAGATGGCAAATAAAAAGAAAGAGGCCATGGGTGAAGCACGCTTTAAGTGAAATATGCGCATCGTCATGGCAATGGTTCGTGGCCACGTCAGATTATGCCAGAGTTTGTTGTAAAATCATTTCACACTGCTCAGACATTCCACAACCCAACAAACGCAGATTAAGCATGTTCAGTCGGGTTAAAAACAACTCCGACCAACGCCAAAAGGGGCAACACACTGTTGGTGTTTGTTGCCGTTTGTCTGTGCAGTGTGAATTGGCCTTAAGACATGTGAAACGATGTCGTTCAAGCCAACCTTGAAACAAGCTGTACATTTAAATAATTTGACAGTGTTGTTGTTTTTCTTCTTGTCTTGTACACTCAACATATTATCTTCTAAAGTTTGTGAGCTGCCTACATACATAGACACTATTTCAAGGCATTATAGGCTGACAGCAGCTCAAAAAACTTTAAGGTCTCTTTTAGGATTTGTGGACATCATCTGTCAGCAAACGAATGCTGCACTTCACATCTTTTTGAGGTTAGGACGCTTTGACTGAAAAACTGCTGTTAAAGTGCTTGATCACAAAGCCAATCACAAAGCTCTGAAGGAGCTCTATGGCATTTAGTTATAAGCCTGTGACACGTGACTCAATAATCGTGATTAGATTGTGGTAAGAAAAGTAGTCAAATAGGATAGATGCTCAGCAATGCAGCTGTGTGAAGGTCAGTTCTGTTAAGTGACTTCACAGAGTTTTAACAGAATTTTGGTACTGATGTTTGACTGGTTGTCAATGTTCTGATATAGTGAGATTCTTGTGTGAAAGTAGCTAATTATGCATTGACTAGTTCATGTAGCATCTATCTATAAAATGTACTCTCAAAATTCAATTGTGAGTCCTAAAAATGTCAGGAAGTCACTAGAATATCTAATATATCTTCATAAGCGCACTGTCTAACCTTAACCATATTTAGCGCTCCAAACAGGACTGATAACTGTGCCAACCTACTAAACCGTGAAGGTAACTGCTGGCATGAAATCATGTAATCAAGCAGTTCATTGAACCTTTTTTTCAGTCTGCACAGTGCATTGAATCGAATATAAAGGGCTAAAGAGAGAGGAACGCTGGGGAAAAAAAAAAAGAGTTTGCCTTGAGAGTGAGGTAGATAGGAGAGTTGGGGAGGTGGAGCACTAATGTGTGTGGAATTGGAATGAGTGTTGGAGCGTTCTGCTCTGCTGAGGCAGTACTGCTCCTGATTTATTCTCTCTCTCTCTCTCTCTCTCTCTCAATTTCAATTTCAATTTAAGAGTGCTTTATTGGCATGACAAAAATTATACATTTGTATTGCCAAAGCAATTGCAGCTGGACTGCTTACAAATAGTACACATGTATTAACAGAAAGAAAAATAATAATAATAATAATAGTAATAGTAATAATAATAATAATATATAAAAAGTATTAAGCATGTAGTGCAAAATGAATTACTAATGTATGTAAGTATATAAACTAGAAATAAATATAAAATAAGGGATTAGACATATTTACAGAAGCAAAATATACATGTAAGTAATATAATACAGTAATTTGGCATAATATAATCTACATGTGCTAGAAACATCAGATCAGGGCAGATTGAGAGTTTTCTCTTCTATGGTGACAGGCAGACACATATTGAGCAGCAAACACACAGCAGTTCTTGTGTTCTCCTAACAGATACGGCAGTTTCTCCTGGTTTGAAAGAGTTTTAAATGTCTGATGGATCAGCTGTATTTTATCATAGAACACTGTCCGTATATCTGTGTATTTGGGGCATTCTGTTAGGAAGTGCAGTTCTGTTTCCATCTGATTCAGGTCACAGTGTGAACACAATCTCTGTTCCGGTGGCAGCCATGTTTTTCTGTGTCTGTCTGTCTCTATCATCAGCTTGTGTCCGCTGAGTCTGTATCTGGTCAACTTCTCTTATCTGAGAAAAGTTTCTTATCTCTCTCTCTCTCTCTCTCTCTCTCTCTCTCTCTCTCTCTCTCTCTCCACAGCAAGATGAGAGGAGGATTTTATCACTGCTGTACAGGTGGACAAACAGTCTGCACTGATACTCCCAGCCAATATACACACACACTCTTTTTCAGCCTTCCTCCCATTCACTCTCTGCCAATTGTGCAGTTTGTTTCTGGCCTTGTTTTTGATTTCTTTTATTACCGTTTTATCTCACAACCTGAGCATCTGTTAAGAATAGAAAAGTGTCATCTTGCGATTAGGGCTGCATGATTAATCGAATGTGATTGTCGTGCGCATTTTGTTAAAAAAGCCGGTTCTGTAATCAGCAGGAAATCATCATCACGTGCTTTCTGCGATAGTGTTTTATGATTAAAGCTGTGCAACAGCTGCAAACCATCAGGTCAGGTGTTTCTCAGCTTCTGTCAAAATTCATTCATTAGAAGATGAACAGAACCTGTTTGCTGAGAAAGCGGCCCTGCTGTTTACTTTTTATTTGTTGTGTTTCTTAGGAAAGACACTGATTTTTCTCTTGAAATGAGACTTGGTGGATGGCAGAATGCCATGCGGAAATTTCATTTCTTCTGCTTCTAAAATGTCTCAGCCATTGAGAAGTGTGAAGTGTTGATAGTGTTGCAAATGTGCGTGATTTGTTCTTCTGTGATGGTCAAATATTTTGTAGTATTTTTTTTGTTAAAGGGATAGTTCTCCATAAAATTAAAATTCAGTCTTCTTTTACTTGCCCTCTTGTGGGACACAAAAGGAGAACACTGAAGGATGTTAAAGGTGCTCTTTTTCTGTACAATCAAAGCAATAGTGGCCATGAGCTGTCAAGCTCTAAAACAGACAAAAACATTTTTTTCCATAGACTCATGCACTGTATTATTCTTAAGGTGCAGCCACATTGTCTATTGTCAGTAGTGTAGCAATGTATGAAGTACAGCTTCACATCAAACTAAGCAGCTTTCTGTTTGTCAATGCGGTACAATGCAGTGAAATCTTTCACTCTCACACAGAATTCCAGATTGTGTAGATTCCTGTTGAAATGACTGGTTTTCACCCATGAAAATTCGTCAAACAATAAATGTGTCTGAAGCCATACAGTAGGAACAGATTGAAACTCTTGAAAACTGAGAAACTCTTGACTGGGTTTGGAACCAAATGAGGTTTGGTACCAGGATTTTCATTTTTGGTTGCAGTACCCTTTTAACTAGTAGCCTCTGGCCGATGGAATTATAATTAACATTAAAGCATTTTTCTGAACTTGATGTATTCTCAGTGTGCTCTGGTAAGCTTTTGAAAGCAGTTGAGAAACATTTGAGAAGAAAAAAAATGTAATGCTTCTCGATAGAACATGCAGCATTACAGAGCTCTGAGCCAACTCTTGAACACTAGATTGCAGGAATAATTGCCCTGTGACTAGTGGTCGACAAGTGTGCATTTGTATCCTGCATGATTGCGTGTTCTCTGCTTGACGGTCGATCCGTGCGAATGTAATGCGGACAGGTGGAGAGTTCAGCTTCACTAGAGATGCGCGATCGACAAACTTTAAACTCGTGATTTCAAATTATGCTGCGCTTTATGCATTTGCCCACTGCCATATTCATGTCATTTCCACTGTGTGCTGTATGTAAAATGAGTGTTACCTTGGCTTTATTTGGAAAAAATATGATTCCCAAATCCCAATACTGAGAATACTGAGTGCCCTGTTGGTTACAGTGTTTACTTCCTTTTTTTTATTATATTTTTTATTAAATATTTATTTATTTGTGAAAAATACTTTGTCATTTAAAGTAGGGCTGGGTATCGATTCAGATGTTCCAATTTGATTCGGTTTCGATTTTCGATTCGATATTCGATTTTGATTCGATTTTTGATTTCGATTATCGATTCGATTTGACTATATGAATGAATATAGATTTAATACAAATCCTATATTTATAAAAAATGAACAGTGAACATAAGAGCCACAAACCTGTATATTAAACACTTTTTATTTTAGGTACACTTGGGTACAATAAAATTTTGGTCCCCATTGACTTCCATATATTTCAATATATGGAATATATTTCAGTAAGTCAATAGGGCCCATCAACTGTTTGGTTTACCCATATTCTTCAAAATATCTTCATTTGTGTTCAACAGAAGAAAGAAATTCATACATGATGCAGCTGTGGAGAAAATTCTTTCAGCTGGGACACTGGTCCCTGGAACACAAAGATATCGTTTTGCCTGGAGGGACAAAAGTGGGTACACTCCTTCATGCTTACACCACCACTTAAGTGGATCTTCTGAGAGAGGTATAGGTGTAACTTCTCTGTATTTGACAACTTCTTCCCGTGCCCTGTCTGCAGCAGTAGCACTGACTACTTTAGCCACTGGTGCATAGGCTGCCCCAAGCAGATCCAACAGCGCACAGAATTCTTTTGACCTCTTTGGTGGGGCTGGGGAGGGGTCACCTTCACCAAGGGATTTTTGCTCCTGTACAGGTGCACTGCCTCCATTACCAGCACTATCAGATCCTTGCTGCTGATAGATAGTTAAAAACAAGGAAAATATAAATTTAAATTGTATTTGAATTTAATGTTGCCCATCTCCACCATACAGAAATTTTATTATTTTACTTTAATTTATTATATTTATATGCAGTTAATAAATATTGGTTTGTTTACATTTTCAGTTTTAAAACTTTATGCAACATACATCATGTGCCTTAACTTGCTCCAGAGTGACCATCTCACTGATCAATGTTGTAAATGTGTCCTCGCGTTCCTCTTCAGAGATGAAAGGAAGAGTCTTGAAACGAGGGTCCAGGGCAGGTACAACATGCAGCTTCTCTTTTAGATTTGCATATCTTTAAAGATTAGACAATCACATTTAAATTGCATTATGGCATCAACATACACAAACGTACAATTAACAAGAATGTAATCTGTTGTAACATTCACACAAATTTTACATTTTATAGATAGTACTAGCTGTTTTTGTAAACATACCTAAACTTCAAGTTGTCATGCACGGCAGATTTGAGTTCCTTAATGACAGTCCAATCACTGGCAGTCGAGCGCATCTCATCAAGGAGCTGTGCGTGCAATGGTGCAATAATAGAGAGAGTAGCGGTGTTCTCTCCAGACATCACCAGAGTTGCACTTTTCATCGGCTGAAGAGCTTTCACGATGTCCTCTGCCACAGTTATATCTGCCTCTGTCAAAGTGCAAAGATCCTTTTCGCTCCGACAGACTTCAGGAGAAAGAAGTGCAGCTGAGATTGCCGGTTGCTGCTCCAAAAATCTGTCGAGCATGTCCAGCGTGCTGTTTCACCTGGTCATCACGTCAATTTTAAGTTTGCGACAGGGCAAGTTCAGTAGCATTTGTTTTTCTTTGAAAACTTTGTTAGCGTTAGCGCTCCTGTGAAAGAATGTCACTATGCGCCTAACTCGACCTAGCAACCGAGAGATGGCCAGAAGTTTCAGCGCAGCTTGCGATGCCAGATTTATTGTGTGAGCAAAGCAGCCAATATGAAGCAGCGCCATCATCTCCACGGCACGTATCATGTTAGTAGCGTTGTCGGTCACAATGACCGGGTCTTAGACTTCAGGAGAAAGAAGTGCAGCTGAGATTGCCGGTTGCTGCTCCAAAAATCTGTCGAGCATGTCCAGCGCGCTGTTCCACCTGGTCACCACGTCAATTTTAAGTTTGCGACAGGGCAAGTTAAGTAGAATTAGTTTTTCTTTGAAAACTTTGTTAGCGTTAGCGCTCCTGTGAAAGAATGTCACTATGCGCCTAACTCGACCTAGCAACCGAGAGATGGCCAGAAGTTTCAGCGCAGCTTGCGATGCCAGATTTATTGTGTGAGCAAAGCAGCCAATATGAAGCAGCGCCATCATCTCCACGGCACGTATCATGTTAGTAGCGTTGTCGGTCACAATGACCGGGTCTTTCTTAGTGAGTCTTCCAATGCCTCTGAAAGCAATGCACATATATTTGCCCCTGTGTGACTAGCCTGCATAGCTCTGGTGTGCAACACATTTGAAAGTAATAAGATTAACGTAAATCTTATGTTCAATGTTTGCGGAAATAAAAATGGAAAAAAATAGATTCGTGGCCTTTGACAATCGATATTGAATAGACCACATTTTAAAAAACAATATATCGAAAAATCGATTTTTTTGCCCAGCCCTAATCTAAAGTATAAGGTGACATTCAATTTTTGTTGTACAGAGGCATAAATCGGTTCAGACCGTCTCCAGGATTGACCCATCAGTGCTGATGGCCCTCTTGCACAGCCGTTATTCTGTTCTCAGAGTAAAAGGAACCGCTCTATTCAAGCCATTTTGGTGCTTGAGGCTTATTGTTATAGCAGACATGGTTGAAGCCCAGGGGAGGTAGAGTTAAGGATGATTTATACTTCTGCGTCGGACCTACGCCGTAGCCTTTCCGCCCTGAAGAAAAGCCAAGAACAGTGGTGTTTGTGGATATTGGCCATTCAGGCTACCAGGTCTCTGTGTGTGCCTTTAATAAAGGCAAGCTTAAGGTGTGTGCCGATGACAGTTATACCCTCAAAAGTGATCTTGACTGTTATGTGGAATAGGGATGTAACGGTATGAAAATTATCACGATTATAGTGACCAAAATTATCACCGTTATCGGTATTATCACTGATAATATCGGTATTGTTAAAATGTGCTGGAGATGTTAAAAAAGAACCGACACATAAATCGCTTCACCAAGTTTTATATTTAAAAATCAACAAACAACAAATAAAATGACTTTTTGTTTGCATAATCACTAAAACAGTAACATTACCAATGATGTTCGGATTTTAAATAACTTGACTGAAAACAGTTTAATAGC